CCTTACACCATGTTTAAAACAGAAATTTTTCTATTTCTCCCACCAAAACCAGGTCCTCCTCTTGATTACTTTCATGCCATCCTTAAGCCAATAAGCCAAACTCAAACCAGGAGTATAATCTTAAATGTTACTTTCTGCCTTCATTGACACAGGCCTCCATAGAATCTTGAATTCATCATTCCCTCCCCATTTCCAACAGCCTGCCTAGATTTCTGTAGGAACCTCAGAGTTGGTCTACATATCCCTGAACTCTTCCTTCTTAAATCCATCCTCTAGTCTATACATCTGCTTCGAAATGAGAACCAGCCAGGTAGATTTCCAGATTTCACTGATCCTCAGAGGTTTGGCTGATCTGTCTGGCTCTATGGTGTTCCCCATATGTTACCATTCTTAAAGCCGCAAAAGTCCACTGAAGAGAATGATTTTTCTAGACGGAGGAACTATGCATTCATTAAAACGCACAGCTGAGCTTTTCTGCTAGATTTTGCAATCAAGCTTGCAAATTCATGGGTTCAGAATTACTAAGCATGCTTTAATCAAGATGTTATTCTCATGAACATCAACAGTTCACCACTGTCCACAGATAACATACCAGTCTCTTAGCTTGACCTGCAACCACTCCACAATTTGACCACCACGTATCATGATTCTAACTGATCATCTAGGACTCTTTCATTTTGAGGCTCACACATGAGTCAATAGGACCAAAATTTTGCTCTCTTCCACGTTTGCACCTTTTCCTCTCTTTCCTCCATCCAACTTTATATATCATTTACCCATTCTTTTAAAGTGTATGTCCTCCCTGATGACCATGGCCAGAAGCAGCTCTTCCTTCACGGAAGTCTTCATGACCCACAATTACTTATGAGTTTTGTTTCCCTTGCTAAATCCAAGGAGCATGTCTTTGTCAGCCTTCTAGCCACCATAATGCTTAACATATGCAAGGTACATATTTCTTGGTCAAATTATTCTAAGCCTCAATATTTTCAATTTTTACATCAATATAATGAGACTTGAGTTTTAAAAAATAACCCCTTTCAACAAAGGATTATTTTTCATGCACCAGGAAGCAAAGATGTTAGAAATGTTTTTTTAGAGAACATGCCAATGTAAATTAGTGTTTCAAACACATGCCTAAGTAATGATATAAAAAAAATGCATGTTCCTGAGCACAGCTGCTTGGTCTAATAATACTTCCCTCCTTAGCAAGATGTAAAGTAAGAGCTAGCCATAATATAAGGTGGGGGCGGGGGGGAGTTATCTAGCCACCTGAATGAAGCATTATGAACTTTAGGACTTGAATTTCAGAAGGGATAGGTTTAATATCAAATTATAGCCTGAGCGCCTATTTTACAGTGTTAACTTGCAGATATCTGCAGAACCTTCGAGCCAAGTGAAACCGTAAAGATCACTTTAATGCAGTGAAGGTTATGACCAAGATCACAAATAAAGCCCATATTCTTTCACCAGACAGCCTGCTGAGGAGAGAAAAGCCCAATTCCAGGTTCTAAGTCATTTCCCCCAAAAGAATATCAACAGAATTCACAGATTATAGGTATTAATTTATTTCCTGTGCATGAAAGTATTGTCTCATGAATTAGTCAGATGCAGCTTTAAATATGGTCTGAATTCAGTCGGCTTTTTAAAAAGAAGTTATCAAGCTGGGAAATGAGCTGTGTGTGCTCACTTTCCACAGCTCTTGAGCATGAGCATAAAAAAATGAAACACTGAAAGCTTGGACAGAGGCAGTTTTGTGAATATTCATCTACGGGACGACTCAAAATAACAGCTTGAAAAAGGACTTGATGTCCTCTAGTGGTGAGTTCAAAAACTTGCTTCCAAGTCAATTTGGTTATTGAAAAACATGTTGAAAGAACTGTTCGTCCTCAAGAAAAATAAAAACTATTACCATGAGGAATGTAGCTTGACTACCTTTGAGTAGAAGATAAATATGTGCTGACAGAAATATGGTTTTTAAATGTTGGATTAACATAATACCTTTCAATATCCTTAAATGTTTCATTTTATAGGTGGTATAACCCCAATTTGCAACCCATCTTTGATACACACACATATATAACTGTATAATTATGAATAATTACAGGTTTTATTTTTACAATCACCTGAAATTCTAACCTAAATTGTCCTAGGACCTAGAGGATATTATGCTAAGTGAAATAAGCCAGATCGAGAAAGACAAATACCATATAATTTTGCTCATATGTGGAATCTAAAAAACAAATGAATAAGCAAACAAAAAGCAGAATCAAAGCTATAAATACAGAGAACAAACTGATGGTTGCCAGAGGGGAAAGGGAGTGGGAGATAAAGGCTTCCAGTTATGGAATGAATAATCACAGGAATAAGAGACACAGCACAGGGAATATAAGCAATGATATTGTACTAGCATTGTATGGTGACAGATGGTAGCTACACTTGTGATAAGCATAGCATAATATATAGAGATGCTGAATCACTGTTCTACACCTGAAACTAATGTAACATTGTGTGTCAACTACAAATAAAAAATTTTGTCTTAAAATTACACCAGTCTTTGCACAGGTACACAAAAAACTAAGAGACATTTAAGAATGGACATTACCTCATAATAACCTAATTGAAAGAAAGAATGAGAGCGAGAGAGAGAAAGAAATAAAATTAATCCCTCAACAAATCACCTTTTGATGGTAAAAGAAGTCCCTACCTCCTCCCTGAACACCCACCTGTATACAAACCTGTGATTGCCAAAAAATAATGAATTGCAGCATTTAGATGTGTATGAGGTGAAATATGTCCACAAGAATAAAGCACTAACATTGAAGTCCTATATCAGATATAGATAACATGTTTTAAATATATGGAAAACTTTTTAAGTTATTAAAATTCAAGCAGTCCTTAGTTGTTCACTCAAAATATTTTGATCTAGATTTAAAAAATCTATTTTCACCCTTCTTCTATTTTTGGCACCTGCTCACATAGGTGCTTCTGAACACCAAAAACATTAATTTAGGGCTGGAAAAATAGGATAAAGATGTGGGCCAGAAATAAGTTTTAGTTAAATCATAAGTACATCTATTCAAAAGACCATATATAACATGTGTCCCTTGGAAATCAAAGTTTCTAAGCAAAGGTGGGAAAGAATTTTTTTCACTGAAGGCGATGGCAGCCAATTAAATTCCCCCTTCATAACAGAAAATATTTCACTGATAGTCACATGATTCGTATATTGTTAGAAACATGACCAGTTCATTAGTTAACATGCTCAGACACTGAAATGCTACTTTGTAGCTCACTTATATTTGAACAAGTTGTCCATGTGCAGATTCTAGAAGACAGGTTTTTTGCTTTTTGAGCATAAATTGGTGTGTATTAACCTCCTGGAACAATGTTTTTCAGAAGCAGTCACTTAGTGGGGGATTAGGCACCAAACCATTTATATTCACAATAAGGATGCTGCCCTTCTGCTGCCCTCACTTGGATAGGGCCGCCCCCCCCGCCCCCGCACCAAGCTCATCAAGTTCGATAAAGCAATTGCAAAGACATCTCCTCTTAGCCACCCCTTCCCCAGCCCAAATCAAAATAACGATGGACCAATCTTTCAAACACATTAAGACAAAATAAACCACCCTACAGGAAGTAGCATGACTTCAAAGTAAACAAGTTCAAGACATCTTGTCAGACTTAACCTCAGGTATTTGGCTGAAGAGATTAAGGCATTAGACTTTAGGTGCCCAAACTCTCGCTACAGAGCAGATACACTTCTAAAAACGACTGCAGGTTTTCTGGACCTTCCGCATTAAAATAAGCATACCTTCTAAGTCAAAAAGTGTTGGGGGGGGGGCAGGTGGGGATAGGAGAATCTGGAGGTTCTTACATTTAGGGAAACAATGGTTTTCCGATTATGTGTGCGTGTGTAAGCAGAAAACGCATTGCAACTGGGGAGGCTGCAATTTGAATTCTTTTTAAAATAAGAAACTGCCTCACCGCCCCCATCTCTAGTGTAGGAAGGTACCAGAAACAGTTTACCGGCCAATAATAGGAAACTAGGAGAGAAGAGAGGATTTGCAAGACAGTTTCTCAAGGAAAAAAACTACCACGAGGGGGAAAATCGTCTTCATACAAGATGGGGCCGGGAAGAGAAACTTGCTGCTTGCCCTGGAGATGTGAGCCCCTGTCCCCGAAAGTCAATGCGGAGGTCGGGGGGCGGCGTCACCACCTGGGCCGACATTCCTTCCTACCTGGGGTAGGTGCATGGACTAAAAACACGAACTCTGAGGACCCTTTCAAGTCAACCAATCTACGAGTCCGACGATCCCGCACACTCAGGCCCCACTTTCCTGCAACCAGCCCTGCCTCCCCGCTCGGCGATCTCAGTCCGCTCGGGAGAGGGTCTTAACTGCGGACCACGGGGCGGGGGCGGCCCCCGCGCTCCGCGCGACTCTCGCGCCGGCACTCACTGCGCCGCGGGCGCCTGCGACCCCGGCACCCGGTTCGACCGGGGAAGGCGCGAGGGGTGCCAGAAACGGATAATCCTGTCGGTCGCACTGGGCCGAGGACTTTCCGGCCGGCTGTTTGGTTTGGGGGATACAATTTCCCCTTTCCACTGAATTAGAGCCGGGTCGGCAGGTGGGAGGGGAGCGGCCGGCGTTTTCCAGTTCCTCCTCCCGCCCGCGCTCCCTGGCGAGTTTCCACTTGTTGTGGGAAAGTCGAGGTGGAGCGTCAGAGGGGCGACCGGAACCGGGGCCGGCCGGCCGCCCGCGGCACTCGGGCACGGTCGGCCCGGGCGGCCGACGCGCAGCGGAGGGCGGAGGGCGGAGGGCAGGCGCGCTCCGAGCACGGGTGCGCGGCGCGCGGGGCCGGCCGTTCCGGGCCGCGGTCGGGCGGAGGAGGGGACCGCCGGTGCCCGGCGCGAGCCCACCCATCCGGCTCACCGCCCCCCGCCCGCGGGACCCCCGCCTGCCCCAGCCGTGCAGTCACCTGTTTCGCTCCGCGCAGCGCCATCGCCGCCCCTGTGGCTGTCGCCGCCAGCTCCTAGCTCCGCCATGGTGCTCGGATGACGCGCTTCGAGAGCCGCTCCGCCCTCTTCCTCGGCTTCGCTCCCGCCGGCCCCCCGCCTCCAGGGCCCGCGGCCCAGACAGGTGAGCGCTGTCTAGGGAGGGCGGAGGGAGGAGGGCGGAGGGAGGAGGGAGCGTGAGCCTGCCGGCTGCGAGCAGCTTGAGACCGACGCGCGGGCGCGCCCCCTCGCGGGCAGGTGCGGCGTGGCAGCCGCTCCGACCGACGCTGCGGGGTGTGGGCCGCGAGGGCGGCGGGCGGAGCCAGGCACCTGGCCGGGAGCCCTTGCCCACCCCTGAGACGGCTGCGGGCTCCTCGAGGTCTGGAGGTGGGGCGACGACGCTTAGTGGCGCCTGCGACCGGGCCGCCTGAGACTCAGCCGAAGTGACGCGAGGGCATCGGGACGCTCTGTTCCCCTCTGAACTCTGAAGCAGCCGGGTCAGTTTTGACTTGGCCAGGGCTAGAGTTCATGGTGACAGCCGCCAAGTGCATGATGCCACGTGGAAAGCTGAAGTACACGCCTGGATTCCACGCTGGGTTCGGGTTCCCATCCGCGTTTTAGGACGCCATTATCTTTTCAGCAGGCCTTTGTATCTGATGAGCCCCAGGGCACACAAGTTAGTGAAACTTATGCCCGGTGATGTGGCTTCTTGTTCTTGGTTTCCAATTAGCAACTACCTGGCGGACTTCTGGCTTGCTCAGGAAGACCAGGGAAAAAAGCAATAGGCAACAATATATATACATATGTATATAAAAGAAACATTATTAGCTGAGGAGAAACTCATTTCTGCTCTATTAGGCAAATAAACGATAAGCAACAAAATGCTGAGGGGAAAAAAAGTAGCTTGCATAAATGGAAACATAAGGAACAAAACTGAGCAGCGACCAGTTCCGCCTGGTTACACAGAAGTGCACTCCCACAGTCTCGGTTGGCTGAACATAACCAGGAGGTTCCCAACAATTTAAAACCCTTTCAAGGACTTCAGCAGAATCTGTTGAAGGCCCAAGAGTGCCTGGGAACAGTGTTGAGGTCTTGTTAGGGTGACAGTTCTCACCATCCTTGCATATAAACCCCGCCACTCAGCTCAGGGCTGGGCTGTTTTTATTTGGTTTCCTGGTTCACTGGCTGACTTGGTAGGGGTTTTAACTAAGGGACCCTGATGCCATGGTTTGCAGTAATGGATTTTCCCTTAGTGCCATTTCTATGGTGGGTTAGGCAAACTGATCGTTTAGCTATGAGATCTTCCTAAATCACATTCACATCACTCTTAACAGATGTCTAATCAATAAAAATAAAGTACCAGGTGGGTGGAGGTGGTTGTAGACCTCAGCTTGGGTCTCAGCAAAGACATTTTTTACTACATGAAGTCATCAGAGTTTGAGACACTTTCCTATGAACATCAGAAAGATTTTCTTAGTTGAATTTAAAGAGTTGAACTCTGGAAGAACATTGATTTACTCCCTACTTCAGTAAGCCCCTGAATTCTTTCTGTGATACATACACCCACCCCACCACAAAGTCAAGACTTAGTGGTGTTTGTGTGTGTCCTCTGTGGTTTGGTTTGTTTTGGGTATGTGCTTATCTCTTCTTGCATTCTTTTGCTAACTTATGTTTTAGTCTGTCACAAGTTACACAAAAGTAAGTGCTATAAGAAACACACCAAAATCCAGCACTTAAGCCCTGAATTGGCTATGTGTTTCAAACTTAACCCGGGGTCTGTAACAGGGCGAGCTGTCGAACAAAAATGCGGTAAGGGACAGTATCTGTTAAATGTCATACACCACCATGTTGTACTTCGTGCTGTACTTAGCACAGAGAAGCCATCTGTCTTGAGTTCCCACACCCATCTCAAAACTCTCCGAATAATCACAGTTCCCTTTTCCAGGAGGAGGAGCTGAACCTCCTGATGCCATCAGCCCCCCACCCCTCCCGCCTCCTTTGAAACCTCATCCCTGTCTTCTAAAATGCATCTCCATTCAGGGCCTCTCCCTCAACAAGTACATTTAGGGCTCTTTGATTCTGAAAATTTCTTCCCTTGACATCCCACCCGCCCAAATCTATTGTCATACATTTTGTTCACCAAAGATAATAAATGTACCATTGTCTTATTCTCTTTGTTTAACCAGCTTTATTAATCTTTCTTGCCTGTCTGTAAATAAACTTTCCAGGTCACAAAATCACATTTACCTATTATTATTTTTTAATCTGTTGTTCTCCTGAACTTCCTGCTGTACCAGATCCTCTGATAATCTTCCTCTTGGCTTACACCACTGGCCTGGTTTTCTCATTCCTCTGTGACCAGTCCTTTTGTCTCTGTTGCTGATTTAAATTCCTCCTTCCTCCCAAACCATCCCCAAGCCTTCCTTTTCCCAGAATTTTAGGCCCTACCTATCTCTCATAAGCCCTCACTTACTGTTATCCCCATCAAGGTGACTCCTAGATCCAGAATATATACTCTTGACCTCTGTCCTAACTTCCACCAGTACATTCTCAATGGTCTCTGCACATTTCTATCGGAATGCTCTGCCATTAGTTCATCATGTCTCAAAAAAGCTTCCCTTCAAACTTGCCTGTTTTCGAATTCTTCTCTTACTTACATAGCTTCAACATCTATTCTTTCCTCTTCCTTGTCATCACTGCCCAAATCATAGTTCCCAAATCTTGTCAACTCATGGTTTTAATTCTGCCCTCTCAATTCCTACTGCTCTGCTCCTGGACTCTCATTCACATCTGAATCAGTCTCTGAACCACTCTGTCCAGTTTCTGTTCTCTCTCATTTCTCCACTTCACTGGATTAATCTTCTCATAAACTACTTTACACTCACCCCTCCCTTGCTCAAAACCCTTTAACAGATTCCCCATTTCTACATAATTACATACCAACACAACTTCCCTCCGTGACCATCCCCCATCACACCCTGAGCTCTCTCCTATCCCACTTTCCACTTTTTATTTCTAGAACACCTATTTCCAGCCAAATATGAGTTAAAATTTTTGTATGGTCTAATGTAATATAAAAGTTGTTCACTTTCTCTAGAACGTCTCGCAAATCCCCGCTTTCTGCCTTTGTTCTTGGAACTCTCTACCCTGATTGACTTCCCCAGTCCTGAGTTATTGAATTCCTTCTTTCTGATGCCCTGGTTGAGGTCTTCCTCCACGGCCCTGGCCCCCAGCCAGCTTGTCCTCTGAAGCTCTCCAGGGGGTTTGGGTTTGCATTCATCTGGCCTTTCGCATAGAGTAGGTGTGATTTGTTATTGCAGATCTGTCTCTTCAATCTGATATGAGTTACTTGTTGGCAGGGACTTTGTCATATCAGATTGAAGACATATACAGTGTCTGTAAAGTCTGAAGCCATCAATTATTGTCCTTGTTTACAAATCGCAGATGTCCTTGATGACATAATGTGTGTTGCATGCCTTCTGAACCAGATAGGTATCATGCGTGTCTCTCCTGCTGCCACATTGCCTCACACGCAGCAAATTCTGGTTTTGTTTCTCTTATGGGGCTGTCTCCACCACCCATGCGTAACTGTTCTGGTACAAATCATCTTTCCAGGCACAGCTCTGAACCTCGCTTCTCTGGAAAGCTTTCCTTGACCCTCCTACCCCTTGGCGGTCAGCTGTAACTGTAGCACTTACTGCATGTACTATTGTTTCTGCTTTGCCTCTATCCCACCTCTGACAGTGAACTCCAGGGGGCAAGAACTGTGTCTTGTTCATGCACCACAGGATGTAGTACCCAATAAGTATTTCATAACTACTTCTGAATGAATGATAAGAGGTAACAGTAACAGGCAGTGTCTGATTGCTTACTATCTGCCAAGCATTGCACTAGGCATCTTGTCTGCATGATTTTATTTAAATCTTACAACAGCCCTATGAGGAAGGTACATGACTTCCCCCATTTCAGAAGAGGAACCTGAGACTTAGAGAGGTTAATCAATCTGCCCAAGGTCAAAAGGGAAAGTGATGGTCTTGCTCCAGGCCTATGTGTCTAGACTCTTGCTACACCAAATGGAAAATGAATAGTAACCATCTTACTACCACCTCCATGGAAAGCGGCTCTATTTCTCTGTCCAGGCGTCTCTTGGAATAAGAAGGTGGGACTTGATACTATTAAATCATCTGCAGAGCTTTTTAAAAATAGGATATATGGGCCTTACCCAATGGTCATTGTTTATTACCCAAACCAATAAACACAGTTTCTCTAAGGTGGTGGCATCTGTATATTTTATTTTTATTATTTTTTTAAAGATTTTATTTATTTATTTGAGAGAGAGAGCACGAGTAGGGGGAGGGGCAGAGGGACAAACGGACTCCCTGCTAAGCAGGGAGCCCCATGCGAGTTTTCATCCCAGGACCCTGAGATCATGACCTGAGCCTAAGTCAGATGCTTAGCCAACTGAGCCACCCAGGTTCCCCTCATCAGTATATTTTAAAAAGCATCCTGGTAATTTTAATGTGAAGCTGGGTTGAGAGTCACTGTCCTAGATTGATGCCAAACGTCTTTAAAGTGAAACCTTTAATGGAACTTGGGCCATAATGGAACTGCCTTCTTTTGTGACTGAGGCCCACAGTTCTGACAAAAACCTAATGATGCTGGCCTGGGAATGTATTATGAACCATGCAGGAATAGAGGAACCCACAAAGCCCACAAAGATAAGGTAGGAGGAAGATCCCAAGGAAAGACCCTATCATTAAAGAATTGGTTGAAGATGGGTAGCTTGATCCCATGCACAATCTAAAAGAAGCACCTTGCCATTGGAACTGGGGAGATGAGGGCGCCTGGGTGGCTCAGTTGGTTAAGCGATTGCCTTCGGCTCAGGTCATGGTCCCGGGGTCCTGGGATCGAGCCCCGCGTCGGGCTCCCCCTGCTCTGTGGGGAGCCTGCTTCTCCCTCTGCCTCTGCCTGCCACTCCCCCTGCTTGTGCTCTCGCTCTCTCTGTGTCAAATAAATAAATAATCTTTAAAAAAAAAAAAAAAAAGAACTGGGGAGATGAACTGTGGCTTAATTAAGAACTACCCTGTGTTGGGGATGCCTGGGTGGCTCAGTCAGCTAAGCGACCGACTCTTGCTTTTGGGTCAGGTTGTGGTCCCCTCCTGCTCATGCTATCTCTCTAAAATAAGTAAACAAATCTTTAAAAAAACAATTACCCTGTGTCAATATGAATGAAATGACATATCATTTAATTTACACCTCATCTCCTTTGAACTTTCCCCACAGGTTACAAGAGGCAGCTATCTGTCCTTGAGATTGGGATGTAAAAAAAGATGCAGCTATGTTGTTGCAAGTATCCAATGAGAAAATAAGGTGAGAACTTTCTGTGCAGTCTAATGCAATACAAGATATATCGGACCTTGATTTTCACATAGAAATAAAGATGACTCCTGTTTTCTCAAAGATTTATGTATGGGTCAAGTCATGATGCACGAACAGCTCTATGTTAGTTCTGTCCTGTATAATAAGCAAGTTCCTCTGTATCTAAGAATTTTGTGTTTATCTCATCCATCTAAGAGCTTCAGACTTCACCCTATTAATATGGGCAGGCTTCTAAACTATGATATTCAGCTTCAAATAAAAACATTTCCCTCCAATACGAGAACTAAACTATTAAGGAGACAGAAAATACAGTATTCTCCGCTGGGATGCTATGTGCAGACCCTCTGAGATACACAGTAGTCACTCAAGATAACTTGTGGCCTTGAGAAAAAGCACAGGGACTTTCTTTTATGTAAATTCTTCTTTTCCTTAACCCTCTCTCTTACCACTCTGGTGCCCTGAGGGACAGCTTGCAGATCACCTGTTCTTTGATTACTTGACTAGAAGACAGATTCTATTTAATAGAAGAGCGGAAGAAACAACTAGAAGTTTGACACAGTAGTTTATCTGGTTTGTCCAAACAAAATAAGAATTCTTTAGAATTTATCGAACAGTACGTTAAGAGTCTTTTTACTTTTTAGAGTAAATATGACAAAATGGATAGCTTTAGAACAAGCTAACATTACTATAATTCAGACATGTGCAACTGGTACAGTTCAGTAGTACAAACACGACTCAAATGAACGTACTATGCGCCAGAAACTTAAGTTACAAAATAGAGTCAATATTACAATTAATACACATAGGTAAGTAAAAACCACTGCTTCTCGGATTCTACACACTTAAAAAAAAACATAAACTTTACACAATTGAAATTATGCATTTCTACTCAGAGTATCTTACACACACACATAAGCCTAAAAAGTTATGGTCACATTTTGGTTTTGTTCCAGTGATGCACAATCACATGAAATGTTCTATCCGTTTCGTGTAAAAGAGACATTTGGCCGAAGTGCAACAGCTGCTAAGTTAAAAATATTTCCATAAAAATGTTTAGACTAAAATAATCCCAAGCATCCTGATGTTTAGGATTATTTTTGAGAGTCCTTACAAAGAATCCTTATGAATTGTAGAAATAGAAGCAGTTAGGAAATTTCAGTGTATTTTGTCTTTTTTTTTTTTTTCTCCTTTTAACACAAGTAAACAAATACTGGATTTAAAGTGCAGCTTCTTTCTCCTCTCTCTTAGGTTCTCCCTCCCCTGCGAAGATCAGTTCTGTCTGTTAGAATCTCCACGGAAGGCTGGAAACCAACTGAGCGACAGTCAAGTCTGTGTGTCTCGGAAGTCAGTGATGGCCTTCCACAGTGTGCAAAGCATCCCTCCCCTGTTTAAAGACACAAGAACATGGGGAACAGAACACCTCATTTGAAACATTGCCCTTGATATATACAAGTGACTTCTTCGTCTCTAGCTGCTCTGATCAGAACACAGAGATCCCAAAGTCTTATGGGTCCTCATGTATTCTTTCTATGTTTTGTCATTGCCCTTCCCTGCCTTTCCTTTCCACTCCCACAGACTACCAGTTCCCAAAGCATCATTGCAGATTTTCAGCACGTTTGAAATGGGTCTTTATAGAATTCTGTGTGAGTCAGTAATGCATATGCTTGGCCTGATAGAGAAAACTATAAGAAACTGTATCACTTTATATGTGGTACGTGGATGGCAAATCAGCACCTATCCTATTATTTCTAATAATTTGTTTTAAAGATTTTATTTATTTGAGAGAGAGAGTGAGGGAGAGAGTGCACGAGAGGGGGTAGGGTAGAGGAAGAAGCAGACTCCCCACTGAGCAGGGAGCCCAATGTGGGACTGGATCCCGGGACTCCAGGATCATGACCCGAGCCGAAGGCAGTCGCCTAACCAACTGAGCCACGCAGGCACCCCTATTTCTAATAATTATGGCACAATCATGAACTAAATGAGAGCATTTGTTTAAGGCAGCTTTAAAATAACTGCATGGCCTCCGTCTACTCTATTATCAAGAAATTCTTTGAGTTGATTTGCATTTACAAATATAGAAATAGTGGTTTTAAGAGTGCCCAGTAATAGCTTGGCGCAACAAACTCAGTTTACTCAAAGCAAATGCAAACCAGAGAACGGGGCCCAGGACTGCTGAGATGGTTAGATCTGGTGAGGGGCCCAGCCAGGGCAGGAACCCAGACTTCTCAGCCCAGCGCTCTTTGCATCATGAAAAAGGAAGAGAAAGAAAAGTGGTACCTTAGTCTGAGGCATTTTAAATCATCACGTGTAACATAGTAGAGAACATCCTCTAGTGAATAATCCTCAGCCAAAAACTGTGGAGAAAGTAAAATATGCACAAAAATAAGATGTTTTATACACCATTAAGAAATCGTAAACTCCATAATATAAACGTTGGCAATAATTTAGAAATGAATCTAAAAGGAAGTCTACCAGAAACATAATCTTTTGGAAAACAAACAAACAAAAAAACATAATCTTCTGGAATTATTAAGAAAAAGTCCCTCCTGTTACAAAATAATTACAAAGAAATACATCCATATGACTTCCAAATGCATAAAGATTACAAGCAACACAATTTCTGATAGGCCTTCTAATGAACAGATAAAACTCATTTGTAGTTACATCTGCTGTTCATAACATTTATATATTTTACTTATTTAAATTCAATTAGTTAACATGTAATGTATCATTAGTTTCAGATGTAGAGTTCAGTAATTCATCAGTTGTATATAACACCCAATGCTCATTACAATATGTGCCCTCCTTAATGCACATCACCTTGTTATCTCATCCCCCCCCCAACAATGTTTATATTTGAGGTTTGTTGCTGTGTAGCTTTATTTTTCTCAAGTGGATTAAAAAGTGTTCCTGGAAAGGTATTGTTTACACTTAATTTCTGGACTTATTTTTCATAGCTAATAAAAGGTACTTTTTAAAAATAATTACTATAAAATCAGAGTCCTAAATTTAAACTGAAGCTATAATTTTAAATAAAAAAAAGTCAATGATTTAGTGGATCATCAATTACTACTCCTTAATTGTGGAGTCTTAGTTTGAGGAATAAATATTTCAGAGAACTTGAATGGATGCATCATTCTCCATAAGCAAGAGAGCTGTTTAAATTTATGTAGCAGTAATTTGTTCAATTTAGATTTCTAAGGAAACCCTAAATATTATTTAGTAGCCCAATGAATTATCAAGTAAAGAGAAAAAAAATCTGTATTCTTAGTTACTTAAAAAATTTAAACACAAAACTAAAGCTAGTTTAATATTGTATTGGGGCCCTTTCTATAAAATAATAAAAAATACAATCTCTTTTTGTGTGTATGTGTGTATACATGTATGTAATCTTCAAACATAAGTGCTACTTCTGCTGATTACCAAAGTGTAAGGAGCAGAGGGAAATTAGGTTATTACAGATTTGAAAGTGTTCCTGACACAAGTTGACAGACTAGATCTATTTTATTAAATATCAATAAATAGCCACTGCCCAGTAGAGTCTAATAATGTGAGAGAACTAAAATGTTAAACAAAAGAGAGAATTAGAAACTTTACAATTTTAGTTTTGTCTTGATTTTTCCACTCTTCCTTATTTTCAGTTCAAAAATACAAAAACTCCTCAGGGGTCCTGGACTACAGAGCTTTTGCCCGCCTCATTGTTTTTGCACATACAGCAGCCCGACCCCTGAATGATTTTTCCCTCCTCACTCCCCTCCCCAAATACACATACAGATGGCTTGGTTTATTCCTACGTATGCCTTTAGATTTCAGCTCATTCACCACCTTCGGCGAAAACCTTCCCTAACCTCTTCCTCTCTCTGTCTCCTAACACTTGATTACCTTTCCTTCACGGAGTTTATCAGGGTATCACTACGCTTTATCTGTGGAATTATTTGATGACCATCTGCCGACCCTAGTCTGTAAGCCACAGGGGGGCTCACCAGTGTGTATGCCCTGTGCCTCGCACACAGTAGGCACGCAACATTATGGGGTGAAAGAAAAGCTTGTCCCATGGATAGTTTTCTTTACCCGACTTATAGTGTCTTCATCAGCTCCCTTTTCTCTCAGCCACTCAGTAAGTTCAGACTCTTCAGTATTTGTGCCAGGAGAACCCCGGGGGCATATGGGCAATCCAGGAATATCTAGGACAGAATTGGGAAGGGAGGGACATTCTTAGCTTCTCCTTACAGCGGCCATCTGAGACCTCCGCAGTCAACAGACATTTATTAATACTTTAGAAGATTTTGCTCTATCAGAAAATAATAGAAACAGTCGAGATTGGCAGTATAAATGGTAATATAAACAAAACTCTTGAAGACTACTGATAAATGGAGAGGCAGAAGCAATAACGTAATGATATTCCCACCTCATACTTTCATATCAATTATATAGTTTCTTAGAATAAACTAGTTTCACCAAAATTGTACTGTGGGTTTTTCATGTGACAAACACGAGCATAATTAGCCAAAAACTATATAATCATATAATAATCTCTTTTTTCACTATTTGCAATAATATGGGAAAAAAAAACACCCCAGGATATACAGAATACAAATGCATAAATGGCCAAAAATAGTATTTTATTCTAGTAGTCTCATTTGAACATTACAAAAAAATAACAACCAAAAAAGTGTTAGAGCCCTATTTACCGCAACTAATCTCAGGAAAAGATGACCATGAATCATCTTATTTGAAATTAAGTTATATCGAAATTATAGTTTGCTGCAATTAAGAATTGGGTATTTCTTAAAAGCAATTTCTGCTTGTAATCGTGGCACAAGTGACAGAGGCCAATTAAACCATGAAATAAAACTGCCTGTTGGCTTCCTACCCTTTTTGTGGCAGCCTGGTTTAACAGTATCACTTTAAAATTTCCTACTATTCACCTATTGGTTGGGACTTAAGCTTCAGGTGTTTAATTTCTTGGTCTTTTTCTTCAATAGCTCGATGAAGTAGTGCTTGTAATTCTTTCTCTTTCCGAACCAATTCTTCCAGTAATCTGTAAAAGAAAATTATATTGGTTGACAGGATAATAAAGCTGGAGCAGCCAGAGTGACCTTCTAGATCTGGACTTTGCAAGCTCTAAGGAACATAGACATCCCTGGGATTTTATTGCAATGCAGATTCTGATCCAGTAATTTTGGGGGTAGGTCTGAGATTCTGCATTGCTTCTTTTTTTTTAAGTTTATTTATATATATATTTTAGTAATCTCTATACCCAACATGGGGCTTGGACTCACAACCCAGAGATCAAGAGTTGCATGCTCTTCCAACTGAGCCAGCCAGGTGCCCCATGATTCTGCATTTCTAATGAGCCCCTCCAGGTGATACTCATGTTGCAGGTCCATAGACCCCCATGTTGAGTAGTGAAGTTCTAGAAGGCTTGTACTTCCAGACAAGAATTCACCACCCCAATTGTCTGCCAAAATCTTCAGAGATATTTTATTGTTTCTTTTTATGACCATAAATGGCAAATAAATAAAGTAAAATAAAATATATATGTTAACAGAGCTGTATTTTACATGTATGACCCTTCATCAAAAAAAGTTGATGATGAATGATATAATAATCAATGCAAAGCAGAAAGGCAGTCATTTTTTTTAACTGAAAATTTGAGAAATAAACTATAGGTGAGGTCCCCTATAGTACTCAGTAAATGGTAATGGTTGTTGCTAGGATTGTTGAGGATGTTACTATTATTCCTCTCCCTTCTAAGGGGACTGGTGAAGTGGGTAAAAGGATAGCTGTGTTCCTGGTACATTCAGTTCTTAGTTGGCATCTGATGCATTCTCCAAAGAAACAAGGAGAAACTAACATATCCTTTACATCAGAGTTCTTATTCATGAAAGGTTCACTATGCAACTAAGAGCCAACTGGTTTCCTACTCACCATTTCTAACGCTGTTCTCTGAAAAAATACTCCAAGTTAGAAAGGGAGGTGCTCTGATTTTTTTTTTTTTAAAGATTTTATTTTTATTTGACAGAGAGACATACAGCGGGAGAGGGAACACAAGCAGGGGGAGTGGGAGAAGGAGAAGCAGGCTTCCCGTGGAGCAGGGAGCCCGATGTGGGGCTCGATCCCAGGGCCCCGGGATCATGACCTGAGCTGAAGGCAGACGCTTAACCGACTGAGCCACCCAAGCACCCCGATGCTCTGATTTTTTAGAAAACTATCGTTGGGTGACTTGGATTCAGAATTTTAAGTTAAGGTACATAATTATTCATAAGATCATCAAGATAAATTGTTGCATACCCTACAGTTCTTAGCAAACTGTATTTATTTAATTTTCTCAGTATGGATAGATTTAACTCAGGACCAGATTCCATTCCAAAAGTTTGTTTCC